GCCCCTCCCCACACACAGGTAACTACAATTTTGTATATCATTCCGTGACTTTTCTTTGTAGCCAAATATCATTCCGTGACTTTTCTTTGTAGTCAAATAGGTTTATCAAAACACCTTGTTTTGTTTTGCGTGTTTTTGAACTTTCTGTAAATGAAAGCATATTATTCTGCAACTTCCTTTTTTGACTCAACTACCCGTCCCCGAGGTTCACTGTTGTCCCTGCACCTGGCCTGGCTCAGCCCTTTCACAGCCACAAGCACAAGGCGGACCTGCTCACCACTCACCGTCAGTGGTGGCACCGTGGCTCTCGCCACGTCTGCTGTTTTGTTTGGTGGCTAGGAATGTGTCTCCTGGCCCCCTGTGTAAGGCTTCTCCAGGGCATGTATGCACCCAGAAGCGGGATTTCTCGCCACAGGATATGAGTTTTACCAGATGACTCCACATGGTTTTCTCCAACTCCAGGTCCATGCGTGCTTCATAAGGATTCCGGCTGGTCCCATGCCCACAGGCGATACCGTCAGCGTATCCATGGGTGTCAGTCTGACACAGGACAGCTGGGCATCTTCTCCCATGTTAATCAACTCTTCTTCTCTTCTAGGAAGGCTGTCTGACCCCCACCCCCACCCCAAGCCCCGCCAGCTCCCTTAGGAAGGCTCTGGACCAGGGTTTCACTCCAAGGACCAAACACAGTCTGTGGGCTCTGCCGGCAGAGGCCGGTGCCCGCTCCAGGGTCCTGCCTGACGGAGTGCACTTTTCACAGCCCACAGAGCGCAGCTTTTTCTTTGCCGCCCCCGCCAGCCCCCCAAATAATCCCTTAAACTGGTCACACTTTGAGTTCAGAGTGTTCTCAAGCTGCCCCCCAGGCACCCCGCCTCGGCCTCGGGCAGCTCCGACCGACAGCCCGTGGTCGGAAAGACCGTGTCGGTCTCGCTCCGTGGCACCTGCATGCCCGGGCCCTGCCTGGCCCAGATCCAGAGCCCGAGGAGCCCCTGATGGCTCGGGGTGGTGAGGGACCGGGAGGAGCTGCCTCTGGGCTGCCCCTCGAGCTGCAGTGGCAGGGGCTGCCACTGAGGCCACAGTCGGACCATCTCCGCCGACTGGCTCTGCGTTTGCAGAAACTTCATCGCCAGCGCCCCTGTGATGCGCCCAGTTTCGTGTCTGGGCTTCCAAAGTCTCTCTTAGAACTTTTCTTCTTAAAATTGAGATGGAAGTTCACATAATTTAAATATACCTTTGAAGTGAGTGACTCAGAGGCATTTACGACATTCACCAAGTGGGAGAGCGACCGCGTCTGTCTAGTTCCGAACAAGTGCGTCCCCTACAGGAGCACGTGGCTTTCCCCGCTGGACGCTGCGCCGGCGCCCCCCTGGAAGCCTGGGAGCTCCTGGAGGACCGGGGATCCCCCTCCTGGGCGTTTCCGCCCCATCCCCCTCCTAGATCAAAGTAAGTCACTGACAACGCACGCTGAGATAAATTAACTTATAAAGATGCAATCACGCCCTAGCCGGTGTGGCTCAGTGGATAGAGCATTGGCCTGCAGACTGAAGGGTTCGATTCGGGTCCAGGGCACATGCCGTGTTGTGGGCTTGATCCCCAGTGGGCGGTGTGCCGGAGGCAGCCGATCAATGATTCTCTGTCATCATTGATGTTTCTATCTCTTTCTCCCTCTCTCTTCCTCCCTGAAATCAATAAAAATATACTTTAATAAATAAATAAATATAAAGACACGGTCACATAGTTCCCAGCGAGACTAAGTCTATGCCAGCACCTTACAGTGTCACCAGGCACCCACCACAGACCAAGTAACTGAGGGCATCCCCATGACAGCCCCACGCTCTGCCGGGGACGCAGCCTGGGAAGGGGGGAGGGGGGTTGAGCTGTGACCAAGACCTGCAGAGAGGTGAGCAGGGGACAAAGGAACCCACTGCTGCTGTCACAGTGGTGCCCACTTGGACGGCCCAGAAGGCTCACGCCCCCCAGAGGCCACACCCGCTACCCCCGGGCACCACAATGTCACTGTACACAACAGGTGGGTCAGCACAGGTGAAGCGAGTAATTAGTTGTTACTCAGACTCGGGGAGCCAAGTCCCCTCACGAGGGGACCAGGAAGCACATCTGTCACCCGCACTGCCACCCCGAGTCATCAGCACAGCTAATTACGGCTAATTGTGATGTCGTTCCTGTCTCGCTGCTAATACACTTAGACTTGCTAATCAAATCAAACCCTCCGCCTCACGTGCGGCTCTCGAGTAAACGTTTCTGCAAAGAGAGAAGTAAATAAATACTCCAGCTTCGTTCTCTCGTCTCTGTAGCTGCAGACATATTGGGGGGCGGGGGGCATCTATTTGTCCCTGAGACCAAAGGCATCGAAGGAATCTGATGAGGAATTGGCCTTTGCTGCCCAAAGCTTCCAAAGAGAGGGGAAGAGACAGGGGACTGGGGAAGAAGGACAGGGAGAGGAGGGGAAGGGAGGAGGGGGGAGGAGGGATAGAGGAGGAGCGAGAGAGGGAGGAGGGAGGAACTGTCACAGTTGAGCCTGTGCCATCTGTTAACCACTTTTCCTGTGTCGTGTCCACCCTCTCAGGGACAGTCTTCTGCAGCCGCTGGCTGGAATGAGGGCTCCTTCTCAGCACCCTCAGAGGTCTGAGCTCCCCACTTCCACTCCCCAAATTGGGGTGCTTGAATATGTTCCCAGGCCTGGCCTAGACCAGCATGGACCTCGCCTAGCCTCAGAGTTCCTGCCCAGGCGAGAGGAGCTTTCTCTGGGGTCCACCATGGCCATTTCCTGTCCAGCTTCCTTTCCTCTCACGGCAGGGGAGCGAGTCCAGAGGACTGCAGCCACCGTGGTTGGGCTGAGACGGTTTGGAGCAGGAGCGCGAGGAGGAAAGAGGGGTGAGAAGCAGCCCTGGACATCGGCTCTGAGCAGGAACGTCCCCACCGTCACCTTGAGATGCTCTCGGGCTGGACCCATTTCACAGATGAGGAGCCTGAGGCTCTGAAGATCGTTTAGCCACTGAGAGAGGACGCAGGGCGACTCAGAGCCTGTGTCCTGCCCACTCCTCACAGCACCAGGCAGCTCAGCCGGTCCTCCAGCAAATCTCCCCGCCTGGACTCTCACAGCCACGGCTGCTGCCTGGCGGGGCCCACATGGCGCATGCACACACACACACACACACACACACACACACACACACACCACCAGAAACTGAGAGCATGTCCCGCTTCAAATGAGGCCATCGGTTTTAATTAATTTCAGACTTTGTGTGTTTCGGGCAATTATTTGTAACAAGGTTTACATGGGCATTTAAAATTCATTGTGATTTCTATCTAGAACCAACGCTTATTTTTTCAGTAGCTCATTCGGGATGAGGGCATATTACAGGAGCAGCAGGTTCCGTGCCAGGAAGCAGGCACCTGGGGCTCCGGGAAGGCGCCCACCCCGTGACCACAGGCCAACCAGCAGAAGCATGGAATGAGGCTCCAGAGGACAAAACCGAACCTGACCTGACTGAGCCGCGGGAGACCATTCCAAACCTAGAGCTGGGCGCCCACCGCGGCTCAGCGTTACCGGTGGCTCCCAGGGGGTGCGGCACCCAGGCACCTGGCTGGGGG